AACATTTATTGTAAAAAGTAGTAACAATCTAAGTTGGTGCGTTAGAATAAGAAGTCGAGCATTATAAAAACTTGGTCCTTCTCAGGACCACCATTTTTTTCTACAACTAATAATCTTTCGCATTAACCTTTAACGATGAATAAATATATATGACCTTAAATAGATAAGACGAGGAACAATCTGCGAATGGTACTTTTTACAAGGAACATCCCCTATTATCCTAGGTCACAATAATAAAACTTGGGATGATTAACGTTTACACATAAAAAAGCTAGTATAATATTAGAAAAAGAAGTTTGAGCAATGCGCGATTATTCATTAATTATGGAAAGTCTTAAAGTTTTATAAAAATACTCGCGTTATCCGAAAACCTCCAAGAACTGTCAAAATTACGCGATTAACATTTAAAAACAGGGGCCGTAAAGGGCAATGACCGATTTCGTTATCTTCGTCATTTCATTAATGACGTTTGCATTAAAGCGACAAAATAGTAATTAATAGGAGTATTAATTTCTTAATATGCATAGCTACTTTTTTACCTTAAGAAATTGCAAAATCGATGTTTCCTTGTACAAATTTTCCATACGATCTGTCTATATGGTGGCGGCGTAATGGGGGAGGGTGCGGTGGGGGCGATCCGCCCCGGGTACCAAGGACAAAGGGGTCACAACAACAATTCATTCGCACAGCCAACGAATACTTACAGAAAAATCACTTTGTAAAAATATACAAAAAAAAATCGGGACAGCAGACAGACGGACAGACAAACAAACAGATAGACAAACGGAAACGGGAGACCCATTTCTTCGTACTCTAGAGGTTATAAAAGGTCGAGAAAATGTAAAAGTAGAGAGTCGGCCGACGGACTTCATTCCTACTTCCTAATATTTTGCCTTTTTTTTTTCTAAATATTCATAACCATCTTTTCATAACAAGAAACTTAAAACATGGTTAAAATGATTTATTAAAGAAAATATGGGTTTTGCAATTATGGGGCGGAGCCTAATTGCAAAATCGATATTTACTTATACAAATTTTCCATTTTAAACATGTTTTAAGTTCCATGTTGCGAAAAGAAATCTACACATATTAAAACAAGTAAGCAAAATGTATGCCCGCCCACCCACCCTATCTCAATTGTGATGATTTTTTTTATTCGCCGTGAATCAAGGGGGCGGAGCTTAACTGCAAAATATTTATTTCTTAGCAAGAAATTAAAATCACGTCTTTGGGTATCGTGTTGTTCAAAGAATACTGTGTATATTAAGAAAAACAAAGGCAAAATATAAGCCCCGCCCACCCACCCCATCTCGATTGTAAAGATTTTTTTATTGTTAGAAACTTAAAACATTTTTAAAATGGTCATTTCTCGTAGAAAAATAAGGATTTTACAATTAAGCTCCGCCTCTTGGCTTACGACGAATAAAAAAATCATCAGAATTGAGACAGGGTGGGTGGGCGGGGCCTATATTTTGCCTTTTTCTTTCTTAATAGCCATAGCCATCTTTTCATAACAAGAACTTGCAAAATCGATATTTCCTTATACAAATTTTCCATTTTAAACATATTTTAAGTTTCATGTTGTGAAAAGAAATTTACACATATTAAAACAAAAAGATGTGTACAGATATCTCAATTGTAATGATTTTTTTTATACGCCGTGAACCAAGGGGGCGGAGCATAAGTGCAAAATACTTATTTCTTTACAAAAAATTAAAAACACGTTTTTGAGTATCGTGTTGTTCAAAGAATACTACCTATACTAAGAAAAAAACAAAAATATAAACCCCGCCCACCCACCCCATATCTATTGTGATGATTTTTTTTATTCTTAGAAACCGAAAGCACGTTTAAAATGGTAAAATTTTGTAAGGAAATATGGATATTGTAATTAGGCTCCGCCCCTAGGTTTACCAACGAAGGAAACTTCATTACTATTTAGATCAGGGCAGGTATGGGTGGGGCCTAATCTTTGGCTTTATTTTTTTCTTAATGTACATAGTATTCTTTAAACAACACATGTTTTTAATTTTTCGTAGAGAAATAAGGATTCTGCAGTTATGCTCCGCCCCTTTGGCTCACGACGAATAAAAAAATCATCACAAACGCGATAGGGTGGGTGGGCGGGGCATATATTTTGCCTGTTTTTCTTAATATGTGTAGATTTATTTCGACAATAAAAATCTTAAAACTGCAATGGGACCTTCAACGTCAACAGCAAGTTTATAAATCTCACTTAAGTTATTTGTAAATTTGAAATTAATGTCGAAAACCTTAACCTTGACTGTATTAAATGACAAAGTACATTTTCACTGCTTATTTGATCAAAGCTGCCACCATTAAAGAACCAAATTAGATTGTGCTAGGTTAGAACAAGAAAATCCACCAGTTTGTTGTTGCCAACTTGACGGGCCCGATTAGGTTAATTAATTAATTAATTAATCTCTTAGATAATTCCTCAGTTCTTAGTTGACAAACGTTCGCCGTCTCGATGACAGTAATGGACCATTTCTTCACTTCAATAAATTAAATATTCCGTGTAATGACCGAGGTTCGGTTTAATCACACATTAAGTAGTCGATTATTATCGAAGGAGGCACAAAAGGAAGATAACGCATGTATGACGGTTTAAAGTTGGAAACTCAATTTACTGAAAACTATGCAATGTTTCTAAGTCTGCTTTCGCAATTTTCGACAAAAGAAGACTCAGACCCCCCCCCCCCCCTCAAAAGGAGCATTGTCACGGTCAAAGTGGAGATGACACCTTCATGTCCATACGTCATATGAGTACGGTTTTAGTGCCCATGGTATCTGCCGGTAATTTTACACGTCAACACTACTCATGGCCAGGTTGACCCTAACCCGTCACCTTCTCTTATCAACACCTTAACGCCCAACTCTTTACTCTTATCACTCAACCCGAGTCCTTGTCAGACCATCGCAACACAGCCGGGTCTTCATGCCCCTCGGCTACTTTACACTGACTCTAACTAATTACCCTAAAATGCACCCTCGGTATCTGAGACATGTGTCTTAAGTGGGGGTTAATAATTAAAATTGATTGGTTTTGTCGCCTTTAAGATCTGCACTAAAAACTTCGCTTACAGATTTTTCTTATAGCAGTATTTTTGCGGTTTTGCCTTTTTTATTTTAGGGCCTCGGAGACTTCTTTGTTTTTGACCAACATATTTTTAAATAAAAAAGCCAAAAACGCCGTTATTTGAACTCCACCTTTACTGAATATCGTTACGAAACATGACGGTATCAATTTTTCTTAGTAGAGGAGCAAGGAACATTTTGGTTTTTGTCAAATCCTTCAACAAAGAAAACAGCTTTTCCAACCTCAAAACCACTTGCATAACCAATTATTTTTCTGGTCGCCAAAAAAAAAAAACGCGTGTACTTCGGCTAAAGAGAACTTTTTTGGCCTCATCTGTTTTGTAAATTTTCCACCAGCCGAAAAAGTTCTTCTTTATGAATTTGATACATAAATAACTATTTTTTTTTTGTTTTAAACAAATTTGATAACAATAAATATTCTTAAAACACACTTGAGTGTAGGATGTTGTGAAAGAAGGTCACCAAATTTCACCACAAAACTTTGAAGCTGAGCTGTTCTAACATACACACATGTCATTAACAATTTTATATAGACATATGATATTCGAAAAATCACGCCTAACTTGTAAAGAAGACAAACCAAATTCATCTAATAGTTCTTTATGTTGATAACTTTGTACAAGGTAAAAACTATGTGATATAAAATTAAGAAATTTACAAAATTTACGTTACACATTTTCCACAGAATTAACAAGAAGATCATAAAAGGGGTTCCACAGCAAGCAATATTACAGTATAAGCGTTAATAAACCATTCTCTTTATAAAACTTATTATCTTTTCACAATATTTCCAACAAACAATAAACGGCGTAAACAGAAAACTTACACTTTAGTACATTCTACGACCTGAAAATGTGATAAATATTGACTAAAATGACTTTCGTACAGTACTGGGAACTACAAAATTAATCGTAGGATTAGGTACGTTACCAAATTTTTCTTAGTACGATTTTTCAATAGCTAGTCAAGGCTGCACACTATGTAGTTTTTACAAAAGTACATTTCTCTTAATGGAACTAATTGTTTGTTAATTAAGTGTTTGCGAATGACGAAACTTTAAGGAAAGAAGATCAATGTAAATACAAATAGATTAAAATAATTAAAATATACAGCTTAAAGGTCGATATTTGTCGTAGTACGAGATTTTTGATAGTCTTCAGTTTCAAGTGAGGCAATTTTTGACATACTGTATTACACGTTCCTGTCAGTTGTTAGGAAAAATTGCGGGGGTAACGAGTGCATATGGTTCCAGTCCGTTGTTGCAATGTGCATTGCGAATAAATACCAACAGTAACCAGTACACAATTATTAATAGTCGTTTCACAACGCGGAAACACAATTTTGATTTATTAAAAATGCTTAACCGTTGTTTGCAAGAAATGTTATATTCGTATTTAGCCTAGCACCTGTAGCACGAAAATCCCGACAAGGATGTCATCTTCGTAACGATTGCATTACCAAAACCAATGTTTGTGTTCATTTCAACTAGCTGTGCAAATATTGCGTTTTTGTGTAGAAATCGGCGAGAATCTTCAACCAAAATCGAGTAGTGATTAAGTAATCATCGATTGTTAATTTAAAGTCGAAGGATACGCACGTTTAATGTTAAACGATTTTTCCAAAGTGCCCATAAAACATGTAAATCACAATAGATAATTGGCTGGCCTACAACGTATTCTCCAAAAATCCTATTGTTTTCCGGTTTAATAGGTTTTTGTCATTCCCGTTTTCGTGCATTCATCTTCATTTCTTCGCGACTGTTTACGTTGCTGACGTAACTACGAGCGCAGCTTCAGTGAACGGAACGAGTTCTTGTGCAAGTTGCAAGTAAAAGTGCAACAGAAATCGAAAAAAGTGCATAACAGTTTACGTTTGGCGGGTATTGTGTCAGTACGCCACCGTACCGTCCGAGCATGAAAGCTCCTTTGTGCTTTGGGTAAGCTTCCTGAGTGTCGTTTTCAGCACACGAATTATTCGCGCCATGGGCGTTTGGCTCAAAACATCTATTCTCCCACCTGTTCCTTGGCTACAAAGGCAAACCCCACACGTAATTTACCGAATCTAAAAACTTTAGTGGCAGTCAAGTTCTATGTTAGTTATTTGCAAGTCTTCGGACTCATCGGGTTGTAGTGAACTTCTTCCAGCGGTACCAGAAAATGGTGCTGTGCTGAACAGTGGGGCTACATTTTTTTAAGAATTTTCAACCACTTTCGAAAATTCTGTGAAATTAGGTACTTGTTTTAAAAAGTTCCACAAAAGTGAGTACTGTGTATTTTTGAGTTGTTTTAAAGGGACCAATTAGAATTCTTACGTAATTTTAATACTGACATGCCACACTTTCTCGATGTTTTATTATTAATGAATTGCCATGGTGTCACAACTACAAACAAACAAAAGGGTGTTTGTTACACCAGACGTGTTTCTAATTTCAGGCAACATATATGAAGTTTCCAATCAACTTCAGCCTGGATTATATGGATTACATCAACTACTATACATATTTTCTCGAAACGCACAGTGGTAAGACCCCAAATTTAAGTAATTTCATTTACTTTCAATATTACGATTTTATGATTGTAGACTCTAGGACTTCAAAATGGTTCCTCATGGGTTCCCCCGGTCCCGTTCTGACAATAATTGCCACATATTTATACTTTTGCATGTATGCGGGACCCCGGTACATGAAAGACCGGAAACCATTTGATCTTAAGAATGCGATAATCATCTACAATGGGTTACAGGTCATCTTTAGTGTAATTTTGGTTTACGAGGTACCACCAAAACTAAATCACCACTTAAACTAACACTTTCGTTCCAGGGATTAATGGGTGGTTGGGCAACTGGTTACAATTTGAAGTGTCAACCTGTAGATTATTCGAACAATCCCAAAGCCGTCAGAGTAAGTCTTTTCACCACATGTTGCCTAACAAATAAAAATAAAACTCCACATTCTAGATGGCCCAAGCCGTGTGGTTGTACTTTCTGTGCAAAATCGTCGAACTGCTGGACACGGTTAGTACCGATCGTTGTAACTCTTTTTATAATTCGAAATCGTAGGTGTTTTTCGTGTTGCGCAAAAAAATGAACCAAGTGAGTTTTCTTCACCTGTACCATCACGCCATGATGCCCGTTTGTTCCTGGATAGGTGTGAAGTTCCTACCGGGCGGTCATGGTACTCTTCTGGGTTTAATTAACTCGTTTATTCATATTATCATGTATTCATATTACTTTGTGTCTTCGCTGGGTCCGCAGTACCAGAAATATTTGTGGTGGAAGAAACACGTGACGGCGATGCAGATGGTGAGAGCACCTTAAGTATGGAATGTGTGGATAATGTTGTGTTTTAGATACAATTCTGCATCATATTCATCCATAATTTGCAAGTGTTGTTCCGTCAGTGTGATTTCCCGAAAATTATTGCAGGTTTATTAGGAATGCAAGCGTTATTGTTTTTGTTTTTGTTTGGTAATTTTTACCACCAAACGTATATTGTGGGACCAAAGAGAGCTAAGGAAAGTATCAACAATAATGTACAAAATGGAAAAACTAAAGTAAATTAACTAGTCTAGTTAATTTTACTTTATTATTTATTGTGAATGTTTATATCGTTAGATTTTGCAAAATATAAAGATGCTCTGTGTTAGTGGTGGTTTTATTTGTGTCGATATATTTTTGGTGGTTTATTTAGGGTATTGAGGTAAAACTTGCTTTCAAGAATAAGTGCAATTTGAAATGTGTTTTCCTTGTGTTAATTGCACATTCTTAGGACCATCATTATCTACCACTAATTGTAGGAATTTGACTTTAGTTGCAATTTGTAAATGCCTGCAGGGACGCATTAGTTTCAATTACCCAAAAATGTTTATTTTAATGGGTTAGCTGTAAAGTGAGAAGTCATATCTTTATGCAATTATTTAATTAATAAATAATAGTAAAATCTTCATCACTAGAGCACAATATAGACAATTATGATGACATTTACTACTGTAAAAAAATATGATCCTGTGATTTTAAGGCGTACGGTAAAATTGACAATAGGCGTGACGGGTCTGAGTAGGAAGCCGAGGAGAAAAGGATCGTACGTAGAGAATCTCTGAGATAAGCAATGTCAATCTTAGTATCTGAACACTGAGAGGATTCTCAGGTGAGATATCTTCGACAAACAGCTGTTTTAAAGTGCGGTGAATGTGAAGCTGAACCGTCAGTGACATTTTGTTTAAAATTAGAACTGCCTTATCCAGGTAAAACATGTAGATTTATTTAAAAAATATAGAGAAAACCATATAAAAATTAGTTTTGTTTCGTAGCTACTTTGATCATAATCTTTCTTCTTCCTCTGTTAAGTAACGTGATTCAGCAAAAATTATGTTATTGAGTTCCGGAATGTCCGTTTGTCTCTGATTACACTGAAATAAACGTAGCAAATTGAAATTTGACAGTGATTTACAGTGTACTATTATAAAGACATTCAAGCGTGAAGCTTGGACATGGATTGTTTGTTGATATTTCAGAGGGTTTATTTTTTAGCTGAATGAAAGTACGGCACTCCAGTTCAAAAAACTTCGATGTTAATGAAGTTATTGAAAAATAACATGTTCTTATCGTTTTTATGACAACAAAAAAGATATGTATGGACATAGTAAAGTAAAAGTTTACATTCAAAATGCACTATTTGGACAAGTACTTGTATTAGCTGAAATGCAAATATTTTACTTTCCATTTTATAATTTTTTATTTCAGATTCTCCTTGTCTGAGTACTCATAAACTGTTTTAATTGTAGTCAGAGAAACTTTAATGATTAATGTTAATCGGTCCAATACCAAATGAATGAAACTTCCTGTCAACGATAAACCTCTATTTTTCAAAGTAATTTCATTCGTTGGTGGATTTGAGACGGTACTACCTGCACATAAAAAAATGAAAATTGTATTATCTTCAAGTTTTTAAACGTTTTAATTTTAATTTCATTCCCTTTAAATGAATTCCGAATTCTTAAAGCTGAATCTTGTAGAACAGTGGTACTTACGAATTTAGTTTAGCTTTTACGTTGTAGGCCACACATTAAACAGCGTTGTTCGGAATGTGGTAAACCTAACAGGTTTCTAAAAAACTAGTCGATCAAGCTTTCTTCTATCGACGCACGAGAGTGAGAGCCAGGTACAGCACTACCTGTAGCAACAAGCATTACGCATCAAAGGCCTATAAACGATTGATTTTCACATACATATGTAAATGTCTCTTTTTCGCGCATTTTTTGCAGTAGGAACCCGTCTAAAAAAATATTTGATTTTGTGTTACGTTTTTGTAGCCGGTTTTAACAATAATTATAAAATATCTGGCGGCGGTTATAGATCAACACGCACTAACGACACGGTTTACTTACATACTTACACAACTTTTACTCATGCCGTACTTTAAAACCACAATGGTACTTGCTTCGCGATGGATGCTTTCATCTCTAGAATGTAGAGGTAAAAGGATTTTAGTGTTAATGTGTTATTGTAAAGCTGTCCACTGTGAAAATACATTAGGAGAGAGAGGGGTGTTTAATTACATCGTGTGAGAGTCGTTTCAATGCATAAATTAATACGTTTTTATTGTGACTTGCAATAATAACGAAATCTGCTGATGTGCGAAATATAGTCCCAGTTTTGACATAGTGATTTGTAATTTGACTATTATTATTTCTGATTTTATTATAATTGTGCTTTCCAAAATAAAAATGCACGAGAACTTAAATTTTATTCATGGCGAAATTTACAAATACAATTTGAATACGGAACGAATTTATAATAGAGCCTACACGGTATACAGATGACTCATTATCTAAACATTGACACGTTTTTTACATTTTTACATAGTCTCCTTTACAAATTGCATTATAATTATTCAATGAAGTTATCAAAGTAGAAAATCCAAAGTTCATTACATTCCAGATCACCCATTTACATCGCGGCAACCTTTTGACATTAAGTACTTCCTGAATTGTGAATACATACGGGGTCGAATGTCAAATTTTTTTGCGAGCACTCATACAGTTGGCTTCGAATTACCATGTTTAATGAAGGTACTTATAAATTTGAGTAAATATGAACTTGGTGATAAGGTCAGATGTCAATATCAAGGATTACAGCTTTGGAGACTCAGCATGAAATTTAGAACTCTAGATTCAAAAATGGCATAAGAGCATAGGTTTAAAAATGTAAAATGTCTTTATAGCCCTTATGATTTCACACAAGCAGAAAATATTGTACTTAAAACTGTAAATACAGGTGTACCAAATAAAACATTGTGTCTAGAAATATAATATCATTAAATTTTAATTACAACGATAAAAACACTCAGGTGCGAATTTTATTTTCACTCGATAATAAAATTAAGTCTATCGATATAAAAAAAATTGAATGAAACACAAACAATTAGTAAAAGATCTGTTTCATTTAAGCAGTGGCGGCGTAAAGGGTAGACGGACGGAAACGGGAGACCTATTTCTTCGTACTCTACGGGGCATGAAAGGTCGAGAAAATGTAAAAGTAGAGAGTCGACCGACGGACTTGATTACAATACTTCCGTCGCTTACGCTTGGGAAGAAAATAATGTCTTGATAGAGTTTACGAAGAACTAGATCATCGTTACAGAGCAATGAATGATATTCTCGCACATTTAAGGTGGTTCAACCTAAAGGTCGATTTATAAATTTGTCGCTGAACTTTTAAGCGGGATTTATAACCTTGCTATTGACGTTGAAGTTCCCGTTGCACTTGCTGTTTCCGCTGACGTTGTTTTTAGAGCTGAAAATTGTCATTTATAAACTCCGTTGCCAAGTTGCCGTTGATAGTAGTTTTGATCAACTTTTGGCCTATTTAAAGGGGTTGTAGAAGAATAGTGGAGGATTTAAGTTGATTACTACAAAAATTTACCATTTTAGACATGTTTTAGTTTCTTGTTGTCGAAATAAGTCTACACATATTAAGAAAAAAAGGCAAAATGTAACCCCGCCCACCCGCCCTATCTCAGTTGTATAATTTTTTTGTTCGCCCTGAACCAAAGGGACGGAGCTTAACTGCAAAATACTTATTTCTTTACAAAAAATTAAAAATATGTTTTTGAGTAACGTGTTGTTCAAAGAATAGGTACCATCTATATTAAGAAAAAAAGCACAATATATAAACCCCGCCCACCCACCCCTTCTCAACTGTGATGATTTTTTTCTTCGTTAAAAACTTAAAACACGTTTAAAATTGTAAATTTTTGTAAGGAAATCTGAATTTTGCAATTTGGCTCCTCCTCTAGGTCTTCCAACGAATGAAAACTTCATTACTGTTTAGATCAGAGCAGGTATGGGTGGGGCTTAATCTTTGGCTTTAATTTTTTCTTATTATATATAGTAATTTTAGAAAAACGGTAGAAATTTCTGAAAAAACGAAGCAGAAAATGACTTCTGGATATCGAAATCTACAAGAATTAATTCAACTTCAACTAATTTTCGGATATAGTTGAAAAATGGTCGAAAATGGCAAATATGGCAAAATCAGTCTTACCGTAGCAAGTACTAGCCCCACCCACCCACCCTCTATTTTCTTGGAAGGTGTCATTTGCCAAAATCAATCTTATCTTACCAAGTAGGTACTATTCGTTGAATAACACGATACTCAAAAAAATGTCTTACGTGGTAATTTCTTGTAGAGAAATACTAAGAATTTTGCATTTAAATTCTGCTCCTTTGGCTCTCGACGATTATAAAAAATCATCACAATTGAGATAGGGCGGGTGGGCGGGGCTTATCTTTTGCCTTTATTTCTTAATATACATAGCCATTTTTCATAACAAGAAACTTAAAACATGTTTAAAATGGTAAATTCTTGTAGACAAATATGGATCTTTCAATTAAGCCCAGCCCCTGGATCTGACAACAAATGAAAAATTCATCACAACTGAGAATTGAGATCGGGGCGGGTATGGGTGGGACTTCATCTTTCGCTTTATTTTTTCTTAAAATACATATTATTCTTTGAACAATACGATACTCAAAAACATGCTTTTAATTTTTCGATTAATTTAAGATTATTGCAGTTAAGCTCCGTCCCCTTGGTTCACGACGAATAAAAAAAATCATTACAATTGAGATAGGGCGGGTGGGCGGGGCTACATTTTGCCTTTTTTTCTTAGTATGTGTAGACTTATTTCGACAACAAGAAACTTAAAACATATCTAAAACAGTAAATTTTTGTAGTAATCAACTTAAATCCTCCACTTTTCTTCTACAACCCCTTTAAATACGGCAAAAGTTAAACATCAAAGTTACTATCAAACCACTTGGCAACGGAGTTTATAAATGACAGTTTTCAGCTCCAAAAGCAACGTGAGCGGGAACTTCAAAATCAACATAAGTTTATAAATCCCACTGCTAACGTCATCAAAAAAAGATGTTCATGGAGTAGTTCCAAATCTGACAAAAATCTACCATGAATTTTCTGCAGAGGACATAATTTTAGAAATTTTACGACTGGAACCCTCCAGTATTTCTTCCCAAGAAGCGGTTCATTGGAGCTTTTCAGATTCGTTTTCAATTTAATTTTTCAGATTTTCGATTTTTTTGTTTTTCCAATTTTACGATATGTAACTCTTCGAGTTTTTTGATGATTCAGCTTTTAGATTTTGCGATTTTTCGGTTTGAAATTTCACGAGGTTTAAATTTTTAGATTTTTCAGTTTTTTATTTTTTCAATTTTTCGATTTGCAATTTTTTGTTTCGGTTTTTCATTTTCTTCTTTCATGTTCTGATTTTTTTTTTCGATCTTTAATTTTTAGGTTCTTCAACTTTTAGATTTTTAATTTTTTCGTTTTTTTTAATTTTAGATCTTTCAATTTTTCGATTCATTAATAATTTTTGATTTGCATTTTTTCTAGTTTTCATTTTAAATATATAATAATAATTTTTAGAAGTTTTCACTTTTTCACTTTTACGATTTTAGAATCTTTTTCGTTTTTCAATTATTGTATTTTAAAACTTTTTTATGTTTTCGATTTTTCAATTTTTCAATTTTTAATTTTTCGATTTTTAATTTTTCAATTTTTTGATCTCTCAAATGTGGAACATGAGCCCACGATTAGTTAAAACTTGTATGTTGCCTAGCAACGGACCTCAATCGCGAATTAACTTTAATTTCGTTTTCTCCAAGCGGTACACTCTAATGAAATTTAAAATAAAGTCAAAAGTGGCCCCGCCCACCCACTCCTATTCTGTTGTGATCACTCATTTTATTGGCTCCAAGACGGAAATTGGATTTTAAAATGACAAATAAAAAAATCTAGGATTAAATTTTTTTTTCATATATCAAATTTTATATTTAACTAAATTTTACTTTTTATTCGAGAGATGACTTTGCCGCCAGTGTTTACAATGAAATAATGAAAAGTCATGAAATAGACACATTTAGGTAAAGTTATCAACGCCGCCCCTTTTCTCTAGACCAATGAAATGATTTATGTAGGTGGAATTTGTGCGAGTGGGAGGAGCCTCGATAATATTGCTTTTTAAATCTGATTCCGACGTTTGGTTGCTTATTTAACACCAGATTAATAGGCTCTAGATACATACCTTGTTTACAATTTATCTATTTTTTTCCTCAACAATTTAAGAAATTTGTCTGGAATACTTATAAGATAATGTTGTCATTAATTGACAATATTAAGAGTGGTCACTAAAATAAAGAGGGGGTGGGTGGGCGGGGCTAAATTTAACTCCACCCACCTCTTTTATCAATGTTACAGTTTTTCGACATTACAATACTGACAATTCTATAAATTTTCAATTTCACAATTTTTGGGTTTTCCAATTTTTCGATTCATTAATTTTGTTTGATTTTTGAGTTTTTCAATTTTTAGTTTTTCATTCTTTTAATATTTCGTTTTTTCAGTTCTTTTTTTGCAATTTTTTGATTTCCCACTTTTTCGATTTTGCAATTTCTCGCTTTTTAAGTTTTTCGGTTTTTTAATTTCTTCCGATTTTTTAGTTTTTCGATTTTTAAGTTTTTGGTTATTCAATTTTTCGATTTTTTAACTTTTGAATAACAACAGGAAAAACTGCAAAATTGTGAAATTGAAAAATCAATACATAATGAAATTACGAAAAAGAATGAAATGAAAACTTTGAGAAATTAAAAATTGGAAATTAGAGCCTTGCAAATTGAAAAGGTGCAAAATCGAAAAAGCGAAATATGTATTCTAAAATCGAAATATGTATCTATTGAAAACTGAAGAAATCGGAAAATCAAATTATTGAGAAATCCAAAAATTGCAAAATTAAAAAATTAAAAAATTAGAAAATTGAGGAAACGAAAAATTAAAGAAAGTAAATTTGAAAAATTGAAGATGCGAAAAACTATAGAATTGAAAGAAACATGGAAAAAATAAAGGAAATGAAAAACCGAAAAATTGTCAATTGTGGGAAAATCAAGAAAATGAAAATGAAAATGTGGGGGAAATGAAAAATAAAAATCAAGAACCAGAAAAATTGAAAAATCGCAAAACTGAAAACTGGGAAACTGAAAAATCGAAAAATGAAAAATTTTAATATCGAAAAATTTCAGACTTAAAAAATTGCAAATCGAAAAATTGAAAAATGGAAAAAATAAAAAAATAAAGAAAATGAAAAAACGAAAACTTATGACATCAAATAATTGGTCCAAGTTAAATAAATCCATATTTTTCGAAAAACTGTAAGATTTTGTGTTGTGGATTTTGTCTTTATGATAACCCTTATAAGTTTAGATAAAGATATGTATGTGACATTAAAGTAAATGTAAAAGGCGTGATACGCTTTTGTTTCAAGTGAGTTTTTCCGTTAACAAAATTTTGACGGAAACGGGAGACCTATTTTGTCCTACTCTAAGGGTCACGAAGCGTCGGAAAAACAGATGTAGCCAATCGACTAATGGACTTGATTTAAAAAAAAAAAACTAGTGTAGTGATATCATCAGTCGTTTTAAAAAGATGCTAATCTGAGTCTAAGATTTTTTTTTAACCATTTGTTTCAGTGGCTTCATGTGAAAGAAGCTTTTCAAAATTAAAATTGATAAAATAGTGCTTAAGGTCCACAATGAGCGAAGCTCGACAGAGGAAAGTAAATTTTGATAACATCATAGAATATTTTGCCAAAATAAGGACCCGTAAGCACGTTTAGTATTTGTCGTTTTATTATATGGGGACGGGTGCTCACTAGAAAACCGCCTTAGTACCAAACCAGGCTACGACGCCACTGCATTTAAGCATATTTTCGAACTGCCGGCCTTCACACTGAATATAAAAGTTGTTAGTTCATGATTTGTCGCAGTTAATAGAGCGTTAAAGACGAGACCTACAGAAGCACAAGTGCCAAATCTTTTATGTATCATCACAAAAATGAAACCATGGGTGGTCAAATCTGGGCTACAAGCTGGCCATCGAGCGGAGCCTCCATTGTCCACACAGTGTTCATAATTAATGGTTTTCTGAATTAAAAAAATTCGATTATGTTCGAAAGGCATTTTGAAAATACAATAATTTTATAAATCATAAAGTTTGTGTAACGCTCATTGTCTCATTGGAAACAACAACTTTGTTTATCAATTGGGACTTCTTTATAAGTTTGCTTGAAAAAATTTTTGTTTTTATATTAAGTTTTCAATTATAATATAACAAGTGATATGTGATATGATTATTATCGATAATATTTCGAATGAAACCGAGCTGCAGATTCAACGAGTGCGAAGCACGAGTTGAATGTGCTGCTTCGGTTTCACGAGCCATATCTTCGATTATTAATCATATCACGAGTTATATTCAACATGAGAATATAATAAATGAACACATTTTTTGATAATAGAATTGATTTCGTCGTTTTGAGCTTGCCCCCAACGTTGGCAAGCCATAAAAGACAAAAAAATTTACGAAATTTTAAAATTTGTCAATTTGACAGTTTTTAAATTTAGGTAGCAACAGACCACAATAAGGCAATAAAATTATTATCGCTGTGATAGACATGTAACTAAGGGCATGAACAAATTCTATTGGAAGAAATGGGGTCATGTGATTCATGAATTATATTCTCAGAATAATAGTTCTACGGAAGTTGTATTAATTTAAATGTCAGCATTTCTACAATAAATGATGCCAATCGCAGCAACTGTCATCGCAACTTCCGAATTTGCGATATCGCAAATCCAACTAGAAATTTTTGTATTTTCTATAGCAGTCACAACAATGGTCTTCTTCGTCACACAAATGTTTTTTTCAGTGATATTAAATAGCAGTTATTTATTTATTTTTTTTTTATACAAGAGTAAATACTAATTTTGAATTTCTTTTTGTGCATAATACAACTAACAAAAATTTCTTCCGTATCCCAAAGTACAGCCAATAAAAAATGTATCTGTCGCGACATAGTTGTTAACAATGGACAGGAATTGTTCATAATGACTTTCATTATTCAAAATTATGTTAATCGTTTTTATGTAGCTAGTTGATACCGTACCCTAGCTTCAAATGGTCTTGCAATTAAAATCACTAATAAGTGCTTCCACAACGAAAAAAATTGTAAGATGGCTCTTGTTCTCAAAAGAATTATACGGGGTTATTTTTGGCTGTTCAACGAAATGAAAGGTGAGTGAGTGGCTTCACTAAATTGCACAGTCAGCATTTAATTTTCTAGATCCGAGATCCGACGATTTTTACTTGGCGTCATCACCGTTCCAGCCCATTTTTATAGGGGTATCTTATTTATACCTGATATATAAAATTCTTCCGGAATTTATGAAAAACAGACCCCCTTACAAACTGGATAAAATTTTAATCATTTTCAATTTAACGCAAGTTTTAGTAAATGCGTATCTCTCCTTCAATGTAAGTACACAACATGTACCATAAGTTTTTGGAAAAAATTAAGGTCGTGGTGATTTTTTTAAATTTCTGCTCTAGTTGGCCATAACTCTTAAGTCAGCCGTTTCAGTTATACGGCTGACGTATGTATCATGGCCAACTAGAACACAAATTTAAAAGTCACACGGAACTACTGAATATTCTGTCGTGAAATGAGTTTAATTCATTTATTCATTTCAACATTTTACAGAGCAACTTTGTTTAAATATTTTTGTTTCTCAAGTCATCTTCAGTTTGCTTTTTTCCGAAAACTCCTATTTTCGTTATTAGCATTTAAGTAAATGTAAATTCTTCGTAGGCAATGCTGGAAGTACAAACTCTGAGTTGGTCCTGCGCGATAATAGACTTTTCAGATACTCCACACAACCGATTTATTCTTAGGTTAACGTATGTTTACTTTTTAACAAAACTCGCTGATTTGCTAGATACGGTAATGCAATAACTGGTGAAAGTTCATATTAAATGCACTTTAATCCAGGTTTTTTTCATACTGCGTGGGAAACAGAATCAAGTTTCTTTTCTTCACGTTTATCATCATTTTGGAATGATCGGACTGGGCTGGATTGGAATCAGGTTCGTGGGAGGCGGCCACAGCATATTTCTGGGTCTTGCAAACACTTTCGTTCACTCGATTATGTATTTTTATTATCTTTTGACGGTTTGGAAGCCAGAGTATAAAGCAAGTATTTGGTGGAAAAAACATATTACGCAGCTGCAGCTAGTGAGTTGTATGTGTTTACAAAAATATTTCATTCATTTGTGGTTTTTAGCTTCAATTTATTTTCTTTTTCTTCATCTATGGACAACTATTGTTCAAGCCTGATTGTCAGTATCCGAAAATTGGCCCGTTTATCATTGTTCCGCAGAGTTTATTTATGATGGTGCTGTTTGGTGACTTCTATTACAAAACTTATGTTAAGGCACAAAAAGTGAACAAATAGTAACGTAAAATATATTTATCCACTTAGGTTAAGTTAGTTTTTTGTAAAAAATTGAATACACAATGTATGTTATTTTCCGTTTGAAAAGGAAAATTGTTTTGTAATTTAAATCAGGACCCTTGAATTTTGATTTGTTGAGCAATTCGAAATTTACACGAAATCGAAACATGAACAAATTTTCCTAATTTTTATCGACGCGTAGATCTAAAACTATTAGCGAGAATTACGTTACAATTTAGAAATAAAATTTAAAATTGTCATAATGGGACACCACGTGGAAAATGTGCAGACGGAAAAAGACGGACTAGTTAAAGATTTTTTATACGTATTTTTTCCAAAATTTTACCTCTAATAAAGTCATGTTTTTAACCAAAATAGCGATTTTTAATTTTTTATTTTACCTTTCTTTCAAAATGTACACATGCGTTTAAAAAACTGTATACGTGACACTTTTTTTTGGATACTTTTATTTATTGTTTTACTAACAAAAAAATAAAATTCGCAGTAGTTATCAAATTTTATAATTTATGTGAGAAACTGAGCTTGTTCTGTTGCTTGTGCTGCAGGGACGAGGGAAGTTCTGTTTAACGCAATTTAGATCAATTTTTCGGTAATTAAATTTTGTTATACACGGACTTTTGGACAATTTGTATAAATTCTTTCTAGATTTCGGGGAAGTTTCTAGGTCGAGAATGTGGGCAAACCAATGATTTATGAGAATGAACGTTAACGAACTGAAAATCTGAAAATTCTATAAAACTAATAAACAATTTTCAGACTAGTTTAATAATTTTAACATTATTAAGTACTTATATTATTGACCATTAAAAATAATTTTAGTCTTCCATTTTTTTGTTTTTGTTTTGAAGAAAGAAACCGACAGCTGAAGATATTCCACAAAACAAAAATTTTTGCAAAATATTAAACTGTCAGACGAACTGCTTTAAAATCGGTACTCTATCTTTTTAGCATGTATATCTAATACAAATTTAAAATAATGGAAATAATTACATAATAAATTAACATTTTTCAATTTTCGGCCTTGAATATCGCTTATAAGAATCGTAGTTGTCTAAAAAATGACAAGTGACCACTGTTTATCGTTCATTCAAATTGACAACCGTCATTTTTAGGTAATAGCTGTGCAGTCGCCCTCCTTTTAATTTTGCATCAAAAACAACCAAAAAAGGTAAGTGTTAACCGATAGTCGTTCCAGATTCACAAAACTCAAGTGAAATTTACCAGGACCACACGAAAAAATCAGATGTATTTCAGTGTCATCCTTACGGTTTAACAGTCTCGTTTTTGTAGTACCAGACAACCACAAGTACTCATCAAGTGTTTTTTTACTACTTCATAAGTCACATGCGTTTGCTTTATGACCTTAATCTTTGTTCACATCAAATCCGTGTCACTACTTTCTAGTAAAACGGCACTCGCTTTAGGCCATTTCACCAAATAATTATATCACAAGTTCATTATCATCCTCCCCACCTCTAATGGTATTCGAGGACTTGGCATCACTTTTCTTGGCGGTACAAGTGTCTGCTGTGCTATTAACCCATTTCTGGTCAATCGAAACTTAATTTTTATAAAGGTAGTACTGCGGTACCTGGAATGCATCGATTACGACACGATTTGTGTTGTTTCCGAAGAAGGTACGAAATATGAAAACTGAGGATTCGTATCAATCTCGCTGACTGAGTACTTTCTCCTGGTCGTGAAACAGGTTACCGCGAGCATTGATTACCCATAGCTTCAGGATATGGATACCGTTTTAGAGGTTATCGAAAACTTATTTCAATGTGAGACGTCTTTAATCTTATTGTCGTGGTACCGATGCATGTCTTCTGGGTCGAAATTCCTTGAAAGTTGTGGTTTCGACTGAATAGTTTATGCACTGAGGGATGTCAGTGGTACCACTTTGACTTTATTTTTTATAGTTATGTGTTGCTAAGTGTATTTTTAAAACCTTTCGTCACGAGTTAGTGATGTACCTATGCTTGTTTCGTCAATGAGGCGGCAACAGATTCAAAAATGAGTCCACATGGGTGACCTACAAGTGAAAGGAGTAAAATCATGCGTATCTTCCCCGGTACTCTTAAATGAAAGCTATTGTAAGCTCTTCTTCTCAGTTCTAAGAGAGTAGTTACACGAATCAGTTCTAGCCTATCTATTAGTGACAGTGGTGAAGTACCATTTTAATAATTGTCGCTTGTGTTAAACTGACAACAGTAAGTTCCACAAAACTGATGGAGTCATTACATTTTTCTACTAGTGCTGTGAACTCTAATTTGCTGACTTTACAAATGGAAAAAAATAATCGACTGCGTACTTGATCGAGAGTCAGCAAACAAGAGTTCCAGTTTTACTCAGTGCGGTGAATTTTGTTAATTTTAGAGTACCATGACGTCGTTCATGCGTGTGGTGGTTGAAAACTACAACGAACTGATGGAAAGCAAAGGAGGTAAGTCTCGGTAAGTACGTACATAGCACATAATCTCACCACTTTTTTTTAGATCCTGAAGTAGATTCATGGCTCTTCATGACATCTCCCTTGCCAGTAATCACCATCCTCATAGTGTATTTCTACTTTGTTCTAATATTGGGACCCAAATTGATGGAAAACCGACAACCCTTTGACTTGAAGGGTGTCCTTATCGGCTACAACTTCTACCAAGTAATTTTTAGTTTGTGGCTGTGTTCCCAAGCATTAACTGTGAAGAGTGCGCTACCGATTTTTTTTAACTCGACGTGCAGAAACCCATCCCAAAATAAAGACTTCCAAATTGCGGTACTCTAGTTTCTTATCGTACCAAGCACGTCTTCATTTTCATCGTTTCAGCTGAACAGCGGAGCTTGGTGGTACTTCTTTTCCAAAATCGTTGAACTCCTGGATACCGTTTTCTTCGTTTTGAGGAAGAAACAATCTCAGGTGACCTTCCTGCACGTGTATCACCACTCTTGTACCATGTTCTTCTCCTGGGGATATTTGAAATTCTTGCCAGGTACTAACACTAACACCAAAATCATTTTACTAATAATATTGAGTCGTAGGTCCACAAGGAGCCGTGATCGGTTTGCTTAACTCCTTCGTACATGTGGTGATGTACACGTACTACTTGATTGCGGCTTTGGGACCCAAGTACCAGAAGTACCTCTGGTGGAAAAAGTACATGACTTGGATGCAACTCGTAAGATTCGTTCTTTAGAAAATTTTATCTAATTCGGGTGTTTCAGACCCAGTTTGGCATCATGTTGGCTTATCTCGTGGGGATCATCGCCATGGATTGCAAGCTCCCGAAAGCTTTGACGTTCTTCTTTGTTGGCAACGTCGTCGTGTTTCTTTACCTCTTCGGCAACTTTTACAAAAACGCATACAAAAAATCCAACAGTTCGCTAAAGGGAGAAGCTAAGACTATCAAAGTTCAGTAATTCTGCTGCCGTTTTAGGAGTTAAAAGTTTATAAGTCTGTGTAAATATGCTTAGGTTTTATGTTATTTATATAATTGTCACTATTTAATTTTGTTAAGGGTTTGAGGGAGTCATTTGTTACTCCTTTTTAAATCCAGGGCGAGTGTTTTAGAATTTGTCATGAACTGTGTTATAAAATAAAAATATAAAATCCACGAAATTCGTTTTTACTAGAAGTGGGACACACAGATGCCGACGTTGAGAGAACTGTGTCAATAGTGTCTCTTTGATCTGTAACCTACTTAAGTATAACCGCACCTTTTTTACTTGTTTGAAAGTTATTTCCGCCTTAGAAGATAGACTCATTTAATTGGACGTTGAGGAATGTCATACAGATAAGCTCAACTTTTGCTCTCTTTAAGAACATTTTTTTAATAACGGTATAAAGTTATAACCGTCCACTGAAATTCATCACGATGAAAGAATTTCGAAGTACTGACAATAGTTTCTCTATTGTGTTTTAAATTTATCTTTGTCAAACAGTTTTGCTAACTGTTGTAGATTGGCCTTAAAACGTCTGTGTAAATAAAGTAATGTACAGTTAATATCTATAAATATAAACGTTTGATATCATTATTCTATTTTTGCAATATTGCTTCTCATATTAACTTATATGTCATAATTCCAACTTTTGTACAACTTTATTTTATGAATACATAACAACTTCTGGTATTGTCGATGAAGAAAGTTTCACCTTGTAGTGCTTGTTCTTTTTCTAAACATTGATAGAATAATAGAAAGTCTTATTATATTCAGTACTGTAAGATCCACTAACTCTGATAAAGTTAAACTCAAGTATGTCATAAATCGAGCTTCAATAAAGAGGTCATAAAAAATTATGTTGGTCCGCATAGTACCCACTGTTTTCTAATTTTTGAACTGCGAAATACAGAACACAACAGCTGTATGGGGCCATTGGACATTTGCTTACTCACTATTGTTTATAATTGTCTTTGTTTCTTTTAACAAATGTATGATAGAAAAATTAACTTTTAAGATAGTTCTGGCCCAGTTAAAATATGGCTGACCTTCTTGAAGAACTAACAATGTTTCGATTAAGAACGGAAGACTGAAATTGAGGAAATGGATGGACTGTACAGTTATTACCAATAATTAATAAAATTCTTCTGAATTAAAAAAAATTCCGTTAAAGTGATACCAAATTAAGCCGTTTTAAAGCTGTATGCAACACCTACTGAACAAAGTTTTTTATCAAGTTTGATAAATAACTCCATTAATGCTGCCGAAGATTCTACCTCAAAGTGACAAAAAATATGTTTTCATATAAAAAATTTTCTATATTAACATTTTTTTTTCTTAATTATAACTTTCTCTTAAATTTTTTCGGTCGGCATTAACATAATGTTACGTTTTGCATCTATAACTAAATTACAGCTTGATTTTAAAACTTTGAAAAAATATTTGACTTAAAAAAGATTATATATTAAATTGGTTTGGTTTTTTCTAAACCGGTTTTTTTGATTTTTAGGCTGTTTTGATGATTACGTCTTCGTAATTTTAATTAACGACTAGGTGAAAATAAATTTTCTTATAGAAAATTAGAAAATAAGTGTGTAGTGTCAAGAGCGTTGCAGCAAAACGTTGAAAACTCTTAACATTTTTTTTAGTTCTTGTGACTTGCAAATCTGGTTTAAGTTATCGATTTTCCGGTATATTAGTATGACAAAAGAACCGGTAGTAAAACCTGATCATTGATTATGTAAATATGGTGATATGATATGAATTGTAAAAAGTTAACAAAACGTTTCACACTTCTTTAATTGTTTCTAATGTGTATCTAAGACTTCTGACACTGAAATCTAAATTAGATTCTGGTAACCATTAAAATTCAACTTTGTATTTCAGACACTTTAATCAAAAAATTAACAAAACTATATTGTACATTCACAAGCTTAATTAATGAATATTCTTTAAAATAATTAACCGATCCTATATTTGTTAAAGACACTGTAGTATTTATTTTAAGAGATTTAGGTTGATCTGTATTAATATCATTTAGATTGGTGTAAGTATTTCCAGGAAGTGCTCTTTCTTTATATCTAGGTGAGCGGAACTGCTTGACATGTTAAAAAAAATACAAAAAATCGCATTTATATATTAGTCTTGCATTTTTTAATTTGAAATATAAAAAATATAATTGGATATTAGTGTTATCCGAGAAACGAAGTACCTTTAATCAGGTCTTGATGCTGTGGGATCCGAACCGAAAGAGAAAATAGCTACGATACTCTAAAATATTTTAGGATAGGCAGCTTTGTATACAAAGATGTACCACATCTGATTCATTGTCTAATTCAGTTCTCACTGAGCTAGAAATGGAAGCAAATTATTATAGATTTTTTCTTCCAAACAAAAATAGTCACTTGACGTCATTCAAGAGAAAATTTAGAAAAGAGAAAATATTTGGTAATTTTTGGAAATTGGAAACAATTTACAGTTATTACATTAAGTGAATAGTGAACACTCACATGCAAAATGATGAGGATTTAATGAGAAGTTGATGATTAGTTACGCACTAAGAATTTGTATTTTTTGACAACAATTTGAATGCGTTTAAATTCGTAAACGAATAACTGAAATGTGCTCTAATTACAGATGATAACCAAACTAATTAACAACCACCATTCACTTGTAAAATGTGAGAAAAAACAGTTTTTGGCAGCATTGGTAGACATTTTCTATTTCGCAATTTTCCAAAAAATTCATTTCTTGTTTAGAGATGCTTTGTGTAGTCTAACTTTCCATGTGCACGTTGTGTAGACATGGTTTAGGTATTTATTAAGCGATATACTTAAACTGCTTGCCACATCATGAACTCTACTCTACAATTGTAATAAAAGTCTTGTTCAAGCGTAAAACCACCGAACTATAATTTGTACCAACAGAATACTGCAATTTATAAGTAGTTAGTCATCACGAAATATAAAAAAACATTTGATTTTTCCATATGTAGAATCAAACTGTTACGGTCGAATGACAGCACCAGGAAAGAACAGCTTAAACATCATTTCGTTCAAGTAAAGAATATAGATTTGAAATCGATTATTAGTAATAAATAGTAAGTCAGAAAATTATTTATTCTTATAAAAACTCGATATAATCACAAATGTTATAAACTTGAACATTTCGGATAATTATTCTTTTTGTTATGTATACGCGACTGAAGAATTCTAGTCGAAATGTTAAAGTTCAAATATAAACACAAAATAAAATATACAACTTAAAACAACAAAATTACTAACTAGAGTGTTTTTGGGTGATACCAGTTTTGCAGCTCAGTTCTCCCATTAGTAACACAAGTCTGAGTGTTCCCGTTCTTGTCATCTTTAAGATACCCATTAGCTTTTCCTTTATTCTCGATTTTTTTGTCGTATTTGTAAGCCTGATTGTAGAAATCATCGAACAAATAGTAGAAGAAGATGGCGTTGGGTAGTGTAAAGAACATCGACCATTTGGGATACCCACAATCGTAGAAGAGCAGCTGACTGCTGTGTATAAAAGCCAAACAAAATTGGATCTGCAAAGAACAACAATAATAGTGAAAAAGAGAAAACGGACCTTTCGCTGCATATTTTCTAAACAGACACTAATTTCTTTAATGAAGCAATTACCATTTGCAGATTCGTGATGTACTTCTTCCACCACAAGTACTTTTGAAGGTGAGGACCCAGTGCTGACAACATGTAGTAAGTGTACATGATGATGTGCACGAAACTGTTGACGAGCCCGATGAAGACGGCGTGACCTCCGGGGAAGTACTTCACGACACCCCAGCTGACCATGGGCATGACGGCGTGATGGTACAAGTGTAGGAAAGTCACCTGGGTGTACTTTTTCCTCAGGACGAAGAAAACGGTGTCGAGAAGCTCGGAAATCTTTGCCAAGTAGAAAACGTACACCCCCCTAGCTATCCGAAGGGCTTTTGGTGAAGGGGAGAAGTCGACTGGTTCGCACGTCCAACTGTAGTCGTCAAAGAAAGCTACGTCGACTGCCTGAGAAAAATTTTCAAGGGGTTGGTTATGCAGTGCATTAAATTCGTTTGGTTTTCTGTTTAAGGGTTGAACTTTCTACAACGAATATGGTAATTTTGGTTTTTACAAGGTGCAAAAAATTCGTTTTTAGATGCAGTTTTACGGTCTTTCATCATACTGGTTCCAAGGACGAGCACCTCTTACTATCTCCGAAACGTGTGGCCAGTCTCGTTTTGTGGGGTCTCTTTCTTCCAGTTATGCTACTTTTAAATAAAAAACTGTGTTGCTCCATTAAGTTACTTTTTTTTACTAAAGAGAGATTTTTAGTAATTTGGAAGTGCTATTTTACAAAAAAAGTGTCACTCGGTTGTGTCTGTTTTGGCCACAAAAAATTATTTACGTATTAAAAGATCTGTCTATAAAACTTTTAACGTTACAAATTTCAGATAAATACTAAAAACTGAATTTTAAAACTGATATGCAGAAAATCGTATCTTTATTTAATTACATTCCTGTAACTCAGCAAAAAATGTTCAACTGCGTGCTACTGGCACTTCAATCGCTTGGCCAACATCACGAAAACTGAATAGTTGAAAAATTACTGTAAATAATAAAAAACTGTTTAAATTACATAAAGTAACATACTGCTACATCAGTGGTTTATAAATCCGCCTTGATTTTTAATCATTTGTATTTGGCAAACATGTTTATGCAATATTTACGCATTTCATGTGACCAATATCTCACGCACGTGGGGTCAAGAAGGTCATTGCCGGGTCAATTGAGGTGTTGAATTTGAGCAACTTGACCTCTACGCGCGTGAATTCGAATCCCATCCTCGTCGACATTTTTTTTTCTAATTGAATTTGTACATTTGACTTCAGGTGTGGGATAAGTTCTGTCTAAATAAGTTTAAAGCAATTTTTATGGAGTTATTTTGATATTAAAATATGTTTTTACGTTTTTAAGAGGGTGTATTGTCCTATAATTTTAAAAATGTAGCCAGTCACGCATTAAAACAGTTTAAATAAAACCGGTAAAGTTACTTACATTTATTGCTTTTGACATTCATTGCTTTTCAATTCCTTGACAAATGTTGACAATTAACATTTCGGTAAGGTAATATATTATCCTACCGATTTTACATACAGGATACAGTTATGGCTTTCGTACCAGCCAACCTTTATAAGTGTAAACAGGCATTTAATAGACAGAAACCGATAAATACGATAACCCCATTTCGCCCCTACGAAACTAGAATTAGGCAACATGATTAGTGGAAAATGAAGCTTTTAATATGTCTTGAAAAAGTGTATATTTGTGCGTCTCACTTTTGTGCATTTCTCTGTGACTATTCAATACACTGTTTTTCTAAAGTTCGACTTACACATTCCTTAAATCGGCCAGCTATGGCTTGGATTTTAGCTTCATTAAAACACAATTTAAATACTGAATTTACACATAGACTGAAATTTTGAAATATTCTAAAGACGATTACGTGTCAAAATTATTTGCTTTTTGGTAAAGAGTTAAATTCAACTTACGTAGAATTAGTATATAGAAAATGTACTTTAATTTTTGAGGTAACGGGATTTTATGTGTTGTTTACCAATTACCCTAGTAATTAAATTCGAATTATGACATGTCGTTAATTGCTAGCTAAATAAAACTTTAAGTGAAATTTGCTGAATTTAAATTAACATAGTTCACATACCACTGTATTACAATGGAATTTTTCATTTCCATTTTTTTGTACGTGATATACTGCATGTTCCAAAGTTTTTTAGAGGGAATATATAATCTATAAATTAATTAATTAATAAAAATACGATCAAAGACAGTGATGATCTTCTGAAGGTTTGACTAGAAAATGCAATAATCAAAGACAAATCTTCCAAAGTTCATGGCTGTCTTTAATCCTGTTTTTTTTTATTGTCACTATATTTGTCTTTTTTTAAATTAATATTACTACCCAAACCAGAAAATCATACGAACTCCGTCAATCGATTTTTTTAAACTAAAAATCACTTCTACTTACTTCCCAGAACATCCATGTGCTCACAACCACTTGAAGCGCGTTGTAGATTACTAAGGTATACTTAAAGTCGAACGCTGGCCGATTTTGCATCAATTTGGGACCTAGTTTTGTGACGAAATATAAATAGAAGCCAACTATAGGAAAAACTACAGGATGTGTTACAAGAAACCAGTCGTTCGTCCGAGGATCTAAAAAAAATTTTTTTATTCGTATTAAACTTTCGCCAGGCAATTACCTCCAATTTCCTTGAAGAGATAATGGTAGTAACCCATGAGAAGGTTTCTATCAGCGGTGACGTTCGACATTCTTTCGCCTCCTTCGAGTACTCACAGGTCTGAAAACAAACCAGTGGATAAGGATTAAGTGCGTTGAATGGGAGACAGTAGTGTTTTAGACCAATTTGTGGGTTACTTATAAAGACAATTTGAATAGAATCATAGGTCGTTTTTTCGAAGGACGAAAGTCTATTCTAAATATGCTTTGAAATTCGAATTGTTCGCCCTGCGTATAATAGCGTTTTTGATTATCATTATTCAACGTCATGTATTAAACGAACTTTTAGTTATTTGTAACAAATCATGACGCTATTTCGGAGCTTTATTTATAAGTAATGACGACTTTTTTAGCAAGTTGTAAGTTGCATAATTACGAAGCAAAGAAAACAAGTTATGTAACGAAACGTAAAATATATGTTTTCGGTTTGCAATTTAGCACCAAATCTAACACACGGTAATTTTTTATTTTTGGCGCGAAGTAATAACGAATTTGTAACGACCAAACCGTAATAACTGTAATAGTGACCGTATCTTGAAAGAGAGAGTAAAATTTCCTTGCCTTATTATATCGGCTAATTAGCATTTTGTCTTACAATTAACTAGACCATTACATAAGCGTGATATTGTGTGGCACATTTTACCTCACCTTGTGTAAACATTATTCGTTTAAGGTTGAATTAAAAATACAGTTAATGAAAATTATGAAAATGCGTTACTTTCATCATTTCCGAGTTAGTCGTCTTTTATTTTTTACTAATGAATCAAACATTAAAAAAATATGAGTGAAGCGTCTCGTTACTTAATAACATGGCACGTTATGTATTATGCACATAGTAATGAATTAAATTCGTTTCATTTGTAGAACACTACCTGGTTTTATTGTCTGTTGTGTAAATAATGTAATTTAGTATTTTTTAATATCATTATTTCGATTAAACATTCCATGTTATTCAATAGGAGAAAAATAGTAAATTTTCCACAAAGTCTGATATACTTCCGTTCACTGAAATTTTGAATGACTTAGTTAGTCTGGATCAAGTGCGAAGTGGGATGTCGTTAAAAAGTATTCGAGAAAAAATATTTGAGCTACTGCAATTTACCATATTAACGTAAAAAATGTAACAGTAATGATAATTCAGTAGATAGTGGATTTTTAATAAAACCGTGTTTACAATTACAGGAAGTCTGATTAGTATTTCAATGATTAAACACATTTTTCTAAAAATCGTTAGGTAATGGACGTATAGGAATGTAATAGATTATAAATCATCACTGAATCGAGATCTATGATACCTGAATTGTTAAATCATATTCAACAAAGTGTCTCGTTAAAATACTAAGTGATCGATTTTTGGTACATTAGAAACAGCGACTAAAATTACAACTTAATTGGCTAAAAAACATGCAGTTAGCGATTGAGATCACTTTCTGCATTAGAAAATTTTTAAAAGTAAATATTCTAGCTGTGACGTAACGTGAAGTGGGTCCGGTAAGAGAAAACATAAAATAAAATGTTACGAAACGAATACAAAAAGAAGTAACATTTGTGCCAAAAAAAAGTGGGACGAATGGTGTATACCTTCCTAGAACTGTTGTATCAGAAGATACTTCAAAAATAAAATAAATTCAAACTAAAAAAAAAACAACACTGCTTTGTACTGAGTTACACTAGTGGCACCTATCACTTATCACAGCTGATGAGCACGCTCACACAATGTATACTAAAACTGTATACGAACTTCAAAGCTTATGTTACCCTACTTCTTCACTTTCAGCTTCCTAATCACGAAAACTAATTGCAGAAGATTACCAGTTATGTATTTAACGAACTAATAGCCGGTCTAAAGTTGTAATTTCATGATGATTGATTACAAACAAAGAAACTAACATACCTGACATGAATTTCTCCGAAAATAAATCCAAAATGCGTGGTGGCAAGTATCTATTGTAACGTTCGAACTAAACAATTATTTATTACAAATTAGTCTCATTACAAATCAGGTTTTATTAGGCATAAGAACAATCGCTAATTAGTCGCTTAATTTCTAACACTGTACACTTTTTTGAAACGCGAGCAAGAGGGCGATTTTAGCATTAGGTTTTAATACACTCCTTAACACTTCGACTGCTTCATTAAACTTTCCTCGGTTTAACGAAAATATTAGGTATCTGCTAACTTTCACTTTTATAACCGCACTACAAACTAGAGGTTCGGGACGTAATATATCGAGTAAACTGACTAACATTCCACGGATTTGGTTTATATATGAACACGTCAGGAAAAACGTCTTTATGTAATAACAAACTATTTCTCAACGAATATTACATTTAGTTTGTTATGAATTTTTGTGAATTTAACGAGCACAAGACGACCAAGAATATTTAGTTTTTAGAAAAATTGTATACTGGTGTGAACAACAAGAAAATTGATTTACATATCCAAATATAAATTGTTGTTGCTGTATAGCTGTATAGGTGCAAATTGTGTCCGGTCGCCAAGGTAAACAACATTTTTATTTTTGAAAAAAAATGTTAGGAATAGGTGACATTGGGCTTTCGACTTAAAACAAATATTAACACATTTTGTGGAACAATGGAATGAGTGTAGAGCGAAATCTAGTTTATTACAACACAAAACAAAACAAATTTTGCGTAAGCTCTAAATGGATTAAAATGGATGAGTATTGCATCAGTTTTTTTTAAACTTGTCATTCACCACAGCCATGCCGACACCGCTAAGTACTTAGATGTGAAGAAAATGTAAACACCACACTCATACAGTAAATTTAAAATTATACAGCTTTAATATGGCGAGCTGAGCATTCGTTGTTGTTTATTTTTTTTTTTAATTTTCATTCTTTACTAAAGCACTTGTAGTTCGAAAGGTAAAATTTGCACAGAGTTGATAATTTTAGAAAAAAAATACATTACAATACATTACAAAAGTCGTTTGTGCACATTCCGAGTGAATGGTAATAGATTTAAAAAAAAATGAAAACTTACCTCGTTTCTGAACGTCAACAATGTTTGTGTTAGGTGTGCTTCTTATCGAGTTCTGTGTAAAATATCAACTTTTATGTAGAAGTCAATTTATTCCGAAATCTTTGAATAAAATGGCGTTTTACTTTTTGGAATAAGGAATAAATTAACTGCATCATTAACATTTAATACATTTGCATACTGACTCGAAATTTGCGTCAGTCTTTTTTCTGTTTCAAAAAACGTTTTAACATAAGTCTGAATTTTTGAGACGTGGGTAAGATCAAACATTAAAACATTTCTAAAACAACGCACCAATTTTTTGCCACATGTTATCTCATTTCTAAGAAGGAAACGTTAAAGCCTGCTAAAATTTCAGAGTTCACTTATTACATAACTCGTTTGTCAGCAAAACTTGTAAAATTTGATTGCAAAAATACTTTTTTTAACTACAAAATTTTTGAGAAACGTGAACACACAAATATTTTGCAATTTTTGTGATGACAATGGTTGAAACGACGCGCATTTGTGGGAACGAGCCGAAGGCGAGACCTGCAAAAAACGGGGAGATATTCGCAAAAATATTTTTGGGCGACATGAATAAAACTGATATTGTTTCTTTATAGAAATGAAATCGTATAAACAGTTTCTAACCACTAAAACTTTATAATTTTATGACGATTATGAGGAGCTAGTGCTATTAAAAGCACCCTCTGCCGGTAAGTTTTCAGTGAAAATATAAACAAAAAATATCTACTACTTGTACAATATTTTTTTATGAAATGTGAGTTTTAAATGTTTGACGGTACGGGATTCTACCTGCTATTGGCACAACACATTTGTTCAGACAGTTTAGTGAATACAAAAATAAAGTTGTTAGTATACATATTTGTATGATGTATGTATACTAACAACTTCATTTTTGTAGTATTGTATTCATATTTGTATGAATATACAAATTTCGGTTTATGTGTTAATAACTTCACCATTTGCGTATTTGCATGTAAAATGTCAATGTACCGGGTTGCTATTAAAAAATTGTTTCAAACAAACAAGGACATTTTTGTATTTTGTGAGCTGTGAAACGATATAAATAAAAGACTTGTATTTATGTAGTAACAAAAATTCAATTTAATAAAACTTATTTTCGATAAAATATAGTAATTTGTGTTAATGATTATCTTAATTATAGACGAACGAGCTCTTAGTACATTCAAAACTGTCCTTCTGAGGCTGCCATTACCAATATAAAGTGGCTTCGTAGTCGGTAAGGTTGTGGCTACTATTAGTTCAAGATCAATGTTATTTCAATATCAATAAAGTTGAATAAGCGTAAAATTCCAACGATTTTTTGTACAGTTTGCATGCTTCGTTTTCCAGAAATCGTAATTGTTTTAAAATTATAGGTATTTTTATGTTACAACTTTGACATAGAAACCTTCTATAGTAATTACCTTATAAAAAAGTCACAGCAAGAACGTTTAGGTTCCCAAAGTTTCACTGTCAATAGTTCTCAAATTAAACAAATATTAAAACGCACCACATCACCACAGTGTAGCCTTTAACTTAATAGGCAGATTTTTTCGTTTCTCAATTATTATTAGCGTTGCACAAGAACTTTCGTCACCTCTAGAAACAGTAACACACTTTGGAGCTCCAGTTTAATCGCTATATTGTTCCAGACTTTGGCAAAAAGCTTTAAGGCCAGGTTAACATAATTTTGATTGAGTTCACTGGAACACAAAGAGTGACATTTGAACTAATTAAGAAAGTCCTATTTAATGCAAGTGGCGCAAACAATCTGTTGCACAATGACGTGCAATCTATTGTTGTAACGATTGTAAAAATTCAACAAAATTTGACTAAATTTTGACCGTTTCATATTTGAATTCGTGATGTAAATATTTTGCAACGTATGAGCTTTCACCACCTGTCACGTGTTGCTATGAAATCAAAGTGGCCACTTTTTAATAAGAGTGGCGATTGCTTTCCTGAAGCTCCTAAAGTTTACTATGCAAAATAATTTAACTGGTTCATTTTGATTGCAACTGCGACAGTTATGTAGTTGGTGTTGCGAGAGTATTATTGGCTGCATAGCTCGCTGACGGGAAAAACCATGAAAAACTGATTACTACTACTAGCAGCAACCATGAAAAATTTGTCTACAACGAGCTGAATTATCAACAACAACCTTTACTTACCAATCCTCAATTATAAAAACACATTGCGATTTCCACTGATTTAGACTTAGTTATATAACAGCCACGACTCGTATCCGCGTTACCCAAAATTCAAACGAGACAAGTTATTTAATCAAATGGAAGCAAGTTGTAATTTGTGCTAGATTTGATTATCTACACCACAAATTAAAATGACTTTCAGTCTACAATTTTCACAATTATAAAATTGTGTTTTGTAAAGATATAAAATATGAAAAGTATACAATACCACTTTTCAGTAATTTACGTCCTGACACAACACAGAACATGTTAGTGTCGAAGTTTTCGGTTTTGTGGAAATTAAAACTAAATCTAATTAACTCATCGGCCAAAAATATATACATTATTTTAATTATAAGTCATACTCCTCTATTGAGTATGCTTTTTTTTCTTAGTTTTCACTATAAGTGGAACACACTTACTTTAAACACTCACATAACGTCGTCTATGGATGAAATCACTCGTCACAACTTTCGGTTTTAGATCTTCTTATTCCTCATAAAACATCGTAGATTTAGCATATTGTGATTCTGTTGGCCATAGGATCATCTAGTTTTAATCACCAATTAACATAAGGTGCAGTCTGTTAAATATTAAAATTGTCACTTAGGTATCTAAAGAATCATTCGTGTTAATTCCTGAATAATAATTAGGTAATAATGAATGCAGAGAATTGCAGACTAGCCGTTTTTGTTAACAATGTGTGACGTCTATTATAATTGGTGCATTTTTATGCACAAACTTAGCGACTTAATTAAAATTAGCACATAAAAACTTATTTACTAAAACACCATGGATAGATAATAGCATGTTTTAATTTATGGTTCAGACTGAAAGGCAGCTCATTTTGGTGTACAACGTAGACTAGAATTTGCTTCGCCCTTGAAGTATAATCCGACAAACCGCTTCTTTAAAGAATTATAAAATTTAATTTTGCAATTTTCATATTGTGATAACCTCTATTAACTAAAAATGTAATAAATATGAAATTAAAGCAGATAACTACTAACTACTAAAATGTAGACATTGTCAGATTCTCAACACATGCTTAACTTCGACATTTTGTGTTTATACTTCAACCGAATTCGATTACTAGCACGTTCAGATTACAGGCATCAGCGGCTAAAAGAAAATGAAATTTGGTTGATTTTGTATTCTCGACGCAGAGGAAATGACTGATTGATTGATTCATATTTAATTTTTTTCCCAAAAACACTCATAAAATTGAAGAAATTCGGCAAAAATGTAAGATAATGCACAAATTTTGATTAACGATTTATCATCTTTCCTATACACTTGAAACGTTTGCAATATTTCACTTCATTCGCTTTTGCAATTTTAAAGTAAATTGTAAAATACAATTTTGACTTTTTTCCCTAAAATCTCGATGTCTAGGATAAAAACTCAACATAGATTTTAAATTACATATACACGGAGTATGTCATTCTATAAAATTTAAAAAGGAATATTTGTTCTGCAAAATTATAAAATCACGTAATTATTTTTTAGGAGGCCATAAACAAAAAAATTTGATTAACGATTTACCATATTTACGATAAACTTAAAAAGCTTGCAAGGTTTCAAAGTTCAATTGTAAAATGTTGTTATATAATTTTGATTTTTTTTCCCCAAAAATCTGGATGTTTACCGTGAAAATCGACACGGATTCATGAATCACACATGCAGAAATGATGATTCAAAAGATTCTAATTTCAATAACATTAAAAGTAAATTTTTACGTTTCAAAGAAAAAAACAACAACTCCACTAAAAATATCCTATAAAATTAAATATACATAATACCAAAAAAAGGACAAATTAGCAGTAAGTAAAATATTACTTTTCATTCCACATTTTTTTTATTTTATTATAATGTGCTTTATCATTTTTTTGTTAAGAAAAGAGGCCCAATTTGACGTCGAAGATTTTTTTTATTTATTTTTTTATTTATTTTTATATTATTGGAATGATGTTCAAAATCTTTAGAAATCCACAAGGTTTTAAAAAATAACCTTAAAAATCGGATGTATATGTGAAAAATGTGTTGTATAAAAAAAATCGGAAATTTCCCGGTGTCCCGGCCACACAATTCGACACTGATGATTAGACTAATTTTCTTTACGGTTTTAGCATCTATACGATATTGACAGACAGATGGGAACTCGAG